ATAATTTATTAAATCCTTTATTAATTCTACACTAAACTGTAGAAGAAAAACTGTAAATGAACTTCAAAAATTATATTATTCACCTTTTATTTTTACCAAAATCATGACTCTTGTGTGTAGTTTACTGTACTTGTGATAGAAAACATAGATTATTTGAGTTGGGGGATTTTCAAAATATAAATCATTCACTCAAGCAAGATCAAAATAATTTGAGACCAAATTTATATTATTATGGCACCACTTCACCCGCGTTGCCACCCAGCAAAGCAGAAAGACATCTATCAGTGACTAAAGTGCCAGCGGCTGAATTGACCCTGCAGGAAATGACATTTATATCCACTCTCCATCTTTTAAAGCCAGTGTCTCAGTGGATAAAATAACAATAATACTATTAAATTCTGACACTCAATCAGTCCTGTGTCAGTACTGTGTAGGAAACCCAGTACGTTTTCCTGATTAAACCCAAGCAAAGATCAGCTTATTCAGGTGTGCGGATAGCCGCAGGGCAGGGCAAAGCTCACGGCAACGAAAGCTAACATAAGACATCAGTAGTGAAGCCAGGATATAACTTGTTTGTGCTGTGAACTACCTCCTACTTTCTCTCTCTCTGAAGCCTGAGGTATAGTAAGATAATAATATAGGCCAAAGAAGAAAAATTAGCAGCATGAGACAGAATGAAGAGAGTATTAATCAAAAATGCGCAGAAGGAGAAGGTCAGCGCTATAAAGGAAAATTGTGAAATAGTAGACAGAGACTATACTCACACGTTAGTAGCTGAAGAGTGTCGTGAGAGGGACACAGAGGAGTTATATGGTATCTGTAAGACTTAGACGAAAAAGAAGGAGCAAAATTTAAAGTAACTTAAAACATGCTGTATGCTATTAGTGACAGACATTATTTAGTTATTCATAAAATGAACCACTTAGATGGTTGTTTTACAGTCTAAAAGTAACAAGGTTACAAAAGCTTCTGGTCTTTGTGCATGGTTTTTTTGCAACAAGCACTCATAGATTTAAATAAATATAATCTTTTATTATAATTAATTATAATAAAAGATGTTTTATCTGCTTCATTGACTCTAGCATTAACAAAGTGTATAAAATAAACAAACCATGTGTTGTATAATAACTAAAAAAGTCACTTTGTTAGGTACACCATGCTCTTGATGATTGGACCCTCTTTTGCCTTCAGAACTGTCTTAATTCTTCATAACACACATTCAACAGGGTGCTGGAAACATTCCTAAGAGATTTTGATTCATAATGAAATGACAACATCACACAGTTGTTGTAGATTTGTTATCTGCAGATCCGTGAAACTCTCTTATTCCATTACATTCAAGAGGCGCACTGCTGGATTGAGATCTGGTGATTGTGGAGCCAATTTACAGTCAACTCATGTTAAAGAAATCAGTTTGAGTTTTGTGCTGGACATCAATAATATCAACAATACTCAGGCAGACTGTGGTGTTTAAACAATTGGCATTAAGCCACCACCCTGAACTCACTCATGCACTGACAACACAGTTCCACTCCCAATCCAAAGACTTCCCTCTAGACACAGACTACACAACTATCATCACCTCTGTGCAATACTTAATTTACAAGC